CAAAGCGCTTCACAATTGTGGACATTTGTCTCTCACTCCACACAAAGATGGGATTGAGGTTGCCAGTACAGGATGCGCATTCCAGACCTATTGTATACGTTTTTAGTGGTAGGGGAAACCGGAGCACCCAGAAACCTAGGCAATTTGGCGAGTGTTTGAAAGTAATCCATTCAAAAGCTTTCTACTCAAATTTAGTTTTTGTTCAGTTATTTAAAGAACACGTTTTCAGAGAGCCAGAGTTCCAGGAGATCTAACAGTCAGCCAAGGGTAATTGTAGTTTTGAGCAAGGAACATTACTTGGTTTAGCCATAATGTTCCATACATGTTGAAATTCCAACCGATCCATGTCTGTATATGTCGATGGAACAACACCAGGGATTGACGATTTGACATACAATCAGTTGTTGCTCTGCTTGTGTAACATGTAGACGGAAGCAACAAAAGTGAGTACACCCATTAAAAGAAATCTGAAGTGTCAATAAGCTGCCATTATTTTTCAGTGCTGCTGACCATAGTTTGCCCTGGTATCTTAATCTACTCCTCTAACACAAAATGATGGAGCTGGTGGATGTTGAGACCTTCTCCATCTCTCCCACCCTCAGCATTGACGTTGGAACTATTTTCTGATAGGGGGGTGGGTTTTTTGCTGGGAGAGAGGAGGGAGAGACGCACTTGCATTAGACTGGCTGCACCCCTATTTCTGTCGTCTATACCCTCTGCTCTTCAGTAAGGCAGTTGTAGGTGTCTGTTGGAGGCGTCCTGTTGAAGATGGGTTTGCACTATGGTCCGGTGCACGATGACACAACATCTGAAGGGAGGGGATCCAGCGATGCTTTACTACGTCGCAGCACATGTTGGAATCCATGGCTCTGGCAACACGTTCCTGTTTAAGTCTCCCAACCAATATCAAAGAACGTCTGTCTGCTCCAGAGCTCGTCCTCCATTTTCTTTGATTCTCAGTGCTTACTCCAGTGCGGTGTTACTCCAACAAGAGTTTGGGGATATTTTTTGCTGTTAAACACTGGCGCTCAAACTTCACACACACTTTGAGAAACACTGGCTCCAAGGCGAGCTCATGTATCAGCCACACGCACACACACCCCCTGCGCTTGTGTCAGAGAGTGTGTGTATGCAACTGCTTACTGTACAACAATAAGGAGAAAGGGCTTTGGATGTTTTGGACTGGAAGGAACCTGGGTAGGCAGCAATGTGAGCAAAAGGTTATTCATAATTCAAATTATTTCTTTGGTATAATTTAATGCAACACACTTAATGCATACTATATAGGCTCAAATATTCCATAGCTCATTTTAAACAAGTAAATTCTGTATATTAAATTATATGACGTATGTTGTTTGTCTGACTAACCAGCGGCATATTATCCATGGTCTACTTCATTTTTAGTCCACTGCACTCCACAATGATTAAAAACTGTCCATTTCATAAACATGACCAACTGAAAACACCACATTTCTGCTATAGAATATTTGTGTAAATAAATGATGATATGTTACAGCAGCGGTGGCTAATGGCTGTGAAAGCTCTGGCGCCCGTGACTTGTGACCTATGTAAACAAATGCACCGTAATGTAGAGAGAACACATGAGTGAGCTGAACAAAGCAGGCTGCGACAAAGTCAACGTTACCTTCAGGTTTGTTATAGGAGCTGATTTTTCTCTGTGCTGCGAAAATGTTGAGAAAAACACACTTCAACGTGATAAGTTTTCCCTTCTCATTTACCAGAGATTATGGTTTTTACATGTTTGAGCAATCTTCGTTCACCTTCACTCAAGATGCCACTGCTCCAACTGCAACAAAAATCTTCTGCTGTGAAGTGTTGTTGTGTCAGCATTTTGTTGTCGTGGCATTTCAAGGCTTATACATTGCGTTCATTGGTTTGCATAAGTTGACAGAATGGATGATTTCTCGGCCATTCTTCAAACAGTGTGAATGATGAGCCCACCTTTAGACGCTTTTTAAACCCTTCTATGTCGACTTATGTGGGTGTTATCAGCCTCAAAATAAATCACCGGTATGTCTAAACTTCTGATTTGTTTGTGTTTGTCCACACTCTGCAGTTATACAGCAGAGAGATAGATCTAAAAGTGATCTAACTTGGAAAATATTTTCCTGTTCAAAATGGTTCTAAAGTGCAGCTTTTCACTTACCCTTTAACCCGTTTTGGAAAAAAAGCCAGAGGTTTTTTTCCAAAACGCTCGATTTTGACATCTTAATTTCAAAAGGCTATAACTTACAAGTGATAAGAGATAAAGGCTTTAAGTAAATTAGAAAAATATTAAGGATAGTCCAAAGTTTATGTAGAGAATAAATCCACCCATCTAATTTGCATATTATGACGTCATTTGGCGTTAGAAATTGTGGATTTTAGAATTTTCATACAATATTTGTATTTTTCTAACTGACAGATATATATTGATCACTAAGACATGAACACACACAGAGCACATACTGTAACATTGTAAATGTTCATGGAAATAGTAAAAAATACAAATCATGCTGCTGCTGTGAGCAGCCTGCCCAGACGCGTGCCTCCAGGTGAAGCGCGTCACCGCGACCCTCCTGCTGCAGCTGCTGTCTCCCCTGCTCTCTCTCGTCTAACACACACAAGACAAAGCTTCTTCAACACGTTACTGTCCCGGTGATTACGGGAGGCATGAAAATACATATGTGGGAAGCACTTTTAGCGGAGAGTTTAGCGGAGACTTCAGAGGAGGCTGGAGGTCGCGGCGCGGCGCCCCGACGCGAGTTCCAGGGTTGTTCTCCGCAAATCTAACCTGTCTCCAAACCTCCCAATGACTGGCCTTACGCTGAGAAACACGGTTCCCACTGCTGACTCTGTGCAAAGTGTCTAAAGTTAGTGTTTGGTGCGGTACAACACTCGCAGGCTGCCCCGCAGCTGCACTCGCTTTGCAGTGTTTTCCGCTCTGATTCAACGCGGTCTTGCTCGAATATTTTGTATAGGAGCATGTCGTTTTTTGGGGCCAGGGAGGTAGTCTGACATGTCTGCCAACTAGTGGCAGGGAGTATGAATGAATTTTGACTCTCAGTTGGTCACACTCGGCCGTTTTAAATAGTACCGCAGCTTGTCGACTTAAAGCTGCACTAACTGACTTTGGGATTTTGAAGCCGCGGACTCGCTGGCCTCTCTCTTTCTGCTCCCCTCCCCGCACCCACGAAGCTATCGCCCCCCACACACACACACTGTTGTTGACGGAGCTAGTGTCTCCCAATATGGATAATACATGGATATGGATTTTCACGTGGATGGCGTGACCATAGAACGATAGAACCGGGAAGCGCGGAGGAACGAGACTTTCTTTTGGATGGCTGTCTCGCTGTGTAAGCAGTAACCGGTGACGAAGAGACGAAGCTTCAGGTTAGCTCCTCGTCTTGTTGTACTTACACAGCTGTCTATGCTAACAGACCTGTAGATTTCTCACGAAAGTGGGGGCCAGTGGTCCGCGGTGATTGGTCACAATCTGCGACCCGAAACACATTCTCTTCCTTGTTTCATCAAAACTCGATCTAAAATATAATGTCACGCCAGCACAAATCTGCGCTACTTTTTCGTCAAAAGGACGTATATCCCAATGCACTACACGGACATGGATAGCATTTTCGTAATGAATACAAAAATAAAGTCAGTTAGTGCAGCTTTAAGTCGACCGTGGCGCCTAGAGGGTTAAAGGTGCACTGTGCAACTTGTGTATTTATTTATTTATTTATTTTTTCAAAAAAAGTTGCAGAAAGATGCAATTGATAAAAATTATTAAGATCTCTATTTGGGTTTCATAAAAAAAAAAAAAGGAAACATTTCAATGTTTGTTTTCTTATTTGTTTGGGGTGTATTTTCTGAAATATATACGAACACAGTCTTTTCTTATTTTATAATAATTTCATTTTTTTTGTTGCTGTGAGCAAGAAACATGTTCATTCATTCACACACAAGTTCAAACAATCATTCATAAAATAAAGAAGGCACCACCCACAACGGCCATTGGAGGGGCCGACTGGGAGGAGCGTATCTCCTGCTGGGAGGTGCACTTGATTTGTGCGCCTCGATGTGGTGCATCTGGATAGCGGCAACATTATCCGCATTAAGTTTTTGGATACATTTTTAAAGTTAGAATACCAAACTTTGAAACAGTTTCACTAGTCCAATCAGCTCTCAGTTTGAAAACCTCAAATACTGGCAACATGTTATTTAAATGTAAGTTAGGTACACCTACTTCAGTTTTTAATAGAGTTTAGTCAAGATTTAGTTTTTTTTTTTTTAGAATTACAAGGTGCATAATATGCCCTTTATCACATGAAACCAAATGAGGTATGACACTACAGTATCACTTGCTCCTGTCTCCTTCCATCTTGTGTTCATCTGACTTCCTGTGTCTTTGTTACGTCCACCCAACTTCGAATAAACGCTCCGTCCTTCTATTGCGTTGCACAGCCAGCATATTTCATTAGCCCGTCTCCTTCATATGCACTTATCACAGCTCGGTGTTTGACGCTCTCCTCCAGACAGCCTTATCTTTCTGCAGAAGATGGATCAGCGGGAAGTGCCACTACAGTGAATGGCAGATTAGTCCAAAAGCTTGTTGTGGGCCCAAATTACAGTTCTTCTTATTAACAGTCAAATGAGCCTCTTCATCACGCGGCCTGACAGTCAGCGGGAAGAGAGCTAATGAGGTTGAAGCAGCCTAATTCATCACACAAAATACAGCTTCATTAATATGTAAGTGAAGGGAAAAGTCTGAGGTTGAGTGTGTTGGAGAACAAAGGAAAGACAAAATCCATCCTACCTTGCTTTAAAAAAGAAAGTAGCATTGTTTACTATAGGTAGACTTTCCCTTTATAAATTAAGTTAAGGAAACTACAAAAAACATGTTATGACATTCACCTAACTAGTTTCTGTAGATCCTTTTTGTCATCCTTTCAGAACAAACGACCATACTCAAGTCGGCCCTCAGGCCGAGTTTGGACATGTCTGAAAGGGGGGTTCTTTCCAGATCTGTGTTTGACAAAGGGCATGGCCAGCTTCACTTGTGCTGCAGACGAGACACACCAGTACATGGTCGCTCCCTCTGCCTCTGGATATCAAAGCCGGTCTGTTCACCACTTCAATGTCAGATGATTCCGTTTCAGTCGGTATAGTGCATGCAGCTTATGTGTTATTTAGACCGTACCAGTGTTCTGTGGATTTCTTTATACTTACCTGCTGCTCCTCATCTCTTCAGATCCGGTTCAATCTCGTCCCTGTGACCCCATTCAGCTCTTGGTCTCTACACTCTACTTTAGACTCCAGCGATGTCAGCCTGCTCCCTGCCTTCAACTGCCAGCTCAGCAAGTGTTGAAAATAAACTTGGAAAACTTCTTCAGTCTCCCGCTTCTGCTTTGGTGTTCTATCTGCAAACCTTAATAAGAATCCTCCTAAAGGTAAACTCTGCAAATATTCCCTGTTCAATTCCCATGCTTTTTCTCTGTTTACATACAATTCTTTCTTGAATAAATCAGAATCCATTCTGAATTTGTTTCCGGTGCAGCAGGAATGCTCAGCTAAGCTTTGCAAAGACATACAAAAACAAACATATACATACAAAACAACAGGGACATTTCACATCAGGGTTTGGTTGAGGGAATGAATGGTAGTTGGAAAGAACCTGGTTTTGAGACAAACTGTTTTGCAAGAGAAGGGCCTGTAACGCCTCATGGAGGGCAGGAGTGGGAACAGATGATGGATCGGGTGTGTGTGGTCTGAGGTGATTTTGCGTGTGTGCTGTGCGATGCGTCTATTGTAGAACGTGTTTAGGGATGAACGAGTGTGAGATCTGGGATTTTTGGGCATTTGGTTTATGCCACGTTGGAGTTTGTTGTAAGAGTGAGAATCTAAGTTACCATACCAGACTATTATCGACGAGGTCAGAATGCCTTCCATTATCGCTCTGTAGAACTGTATGAGGACATTGTGTCTGACCCTGAACTTTTTAAGTGTCCTGAGGAAGAATTGTCTTTTGTTTGCTTTTTTGTAAATCTCTTGAGTGTTGTTTCCATTTCAGTGATTTGTTGATGTGTGTTCCGAGGAATTTGTGTGAGTCTGTGACGTATATGGGTTTGTTGTCGATGGATAGTTGTGGTTTGGGTCAGAGTCTGAGAAGTCTGCTGTGTTCTCTCTGACAGGAAGTTTCTGATCCAGTAGCAGAGAGCAGGGTCAATGTTCATGTCCATAAGTTAATTGAAGAGATTGACCCTTTTTTATGGTGTTAAATACGGAGCCTAAGTCCAGAAATAGTGCATGAGCGTAGGTGTATGGGTATTCCAGATCTGCAAACTGCGACCTGTCCATCTTGGGGGGGATGATGTCCTTAAGATGAGGGAGTATAATTCTTTCAAATGATTTAATGATGACTGATGTGCGGACTATGACACTTGGTTGGTGTTTGGTGCAGGAATGATGTCAAAGTCTTTGAAGCATCTTGGTACCCGGCATAGACTGAGGGATTTTTTTTGTTCTTTTTTTTTTTTGTTCTTCCATATCTGGATTGGGCCTTTCTAATTGCCGCTCTGAGTTCATATTCAGCTGCTTTATATTGTGCTGTGTTCTTCATTAAACCAGGGCTTGTTGTTGCCGTACACGTTGACTGTTTTTGTGGGAAAAAATGGGTGAGTTAGTTTTAAGCGCGTTGTGCTATGGGTGCTGGGACTCTGGGGAGCACTGTCTAGAGATGAGCAGGTGAACGACAGAAGCCCTGTGTGAGGAGCAAACAGAAAATCAGCTGATGTTGTGAGCGAGCGAGGGGAAAGGCCACCTCCTCCCTCCCATTCTGCCCCTGATTCATGAATAAAACATGATGATTCATAATGCATGATCAAAGTTATGGACTTCTCCTGTCTGTCACTGCGCACTCGCTGTTTATCCACCCGGCTGAAGATGACTACGCTCTGGTCACCGAGGCTTTAAAGATGAGGTTTGATTTTTGTCTCAATAAAAACGATGAGTACATGAGGAATACACAGGCAGAGAGATATAGTAGGCAGCCGTGTAATGGATGCAGAGGATAGTGTGCTGTAGTGATAGTCTCAGGCTGTGGCGTTTTCATCTTAAAACTGGGGTACCCAACTTTCAACCGACAAAATAAAAAACTACACTATGACAGCTCTGGGTTGGTATTTTCTATCATTCCTTATACTTTTTACTCTTGACCGCACCACACCGTCACACGCAGCACCGCGCAAAGGAGGTGGGGCCGCCGTGTGATGATTTGTTGCTGTTGCCATAGAAGAACGTTAGTCAAATTGTAATGAATATGATGATTAGAGCTGTTTGGCACCCCATGTAAAACTTTGCCTAAATCTGTAGGAGGCGCTAATGGGCCAATTTCAAATATTTCACTTTTACCTGACCTAAACCATGGAGTTGAACATTGGATTCAAGTTTTGTGCAAATCAGACTTTGTTTGTGAAAACGGGAGCAAATAGAATGTTGTGAAAAACGGTCAATAAACACTCACATTTTGCCGCTCCGCTGCTCAAACAATGTTTCACTGATCAAAAATCCCTTAGGTCATTTTGAAGGTACATGTGTTGAGAAGATGTGGAGTGATATGGAGGCCAATCGGTGAAACGGCCGAGGAGGAGTCGCTTTCCAACCGACATGTATGAAAATGATTGCTGTTCATTTATTCATTTTGCAGTGAAATTTATGGGCTTCCTGTTTGTCAGAGGGCGGAGCCATGATAACATTTAGGTTAAGTCTCTTGTTAGGCCCGAGCCCCGAACGGGCCTAACAAATAGGACATCCCTTCCCAACATGTGAGTGAAAGAATTCCTATTGTTAATTTAGATGTTAAATATATGCAACAATGGACTAAACACGGCCCAATCCTGCAAAAATACAAAATCAAAGCATTTTCATTTAACAAAGCATATGATGCAAACTAACTTTGACTCTTGAGCAACATGATACAACTGAAATTGTGCTTAGGTTGACACGTTTTCAGTTACAAAACCAGGTCTTTTTGTTGAGCCGCTGTTTGACACATAGATCTGTTGGTTTCACTCCCACTTGGTGTGTTTTGGAGGATTTGGCTGTGTTTCTGAGCCCCTGATCCAGGCTCAGTCGAAAAGGCTTTCTTTGTTTTTGTTACATAAGACAGAGGTACCTTCCAGCACAGCAGCATCAGCAACAGCAGCAGCAGCAACAGCAACAGCAGTAGGGATCTTCCAGCAGAAACAAGACTGGTGCAGAACTAGAGCTTTAAAGTAAAAATATTTGATACAGGGCTGGACGATAAAACAATATTGATATATATCGCGATAGACACATTAGTGTTCGATATCAATAGAAACCGGGGTTAATTGAATGTTTGATAGTTACAGTAAACGTCACTCTGTTAGAAAATACAGGAAGAAAACACTGAAAGTAAAGCCGAGTCAGAAGCGTGCAGCATTCTGGGGGATGTAGGCAGAGGCTTCTCGGCCTATCACAGCCAAGCATGAACCGCAAAACTTTCTGGGAAATACAAAAATAAACATCCGCACCATGCATAATGTCTATGGAACTATAGATTGCGTGGTGTTTCAATGCCTTGGCACGGAGAGGCTGTGTGTACCACGACTAATGTGAGCGGCAAAAGCAAGAGATGAACTTTTTCCTCTGGAAACACATACAGCGATATCGATATCGACCGATATGAAGTCCTTATATTGTGATATAGTTATCAGTCATATCGCCTAGCCCTAATTTGATCGAGATTCATGTGATCCATATTTCTCTAACCTGGTTATTGCGTCTTCAGCCTATTTCTTTTTTTTCAAAATCCCCAATTGCAGTTTTCAGTTGAGAAATAAAAGCTCTGTCTGCTGTGTCCAGGTGACTTTGATACACAATATGATTTCTGCTATTGTTATTCTCCCAAAAGAAAGACAGTGCATATTTTATACAACACTGTGCAATTTGAACTGAATTTCTTCCAACATTGTTAAAAATCCATGTTGTTGTTATTGTCTATCCTACACAGCTTGCTTTTAAGGCATTGGGTCTAGGGTTTAGGGTGGAAAACATCATACACAAAGAACATTGAGGAGTAGGAGATGGGAACAATGCCTTCATAATGGCGTGTCTTTCAATGTATCATTGTTCTTATTTGGCCATGGACATATTTAAGATCTCGGTCTTCCCATTGAGTCCACAATACTTGGATCTTTCCCCTTTTTGAAAGTCTTGGGTGTAAGATCAAAAACCTTCTTGTTCGCCTAAAAAGTTGTTCTCACACAAACATTTGAAATCCACAGGCCGTAGTCGTAACAATCCTCACAATAGCCCTAGTATTGACCGTGTGGATCTGCTTTTGCACCCCCTGCTGCTCCTCTACCGTCCTGCGGGCCACTTTCAAAGAGCATTTTTGATGTATTTTTTTTGGGAACCTTCTCGTTTGTCTATTGTTTGGCCACTTTTAGGCGGGGAGCATCCACGCCTGCCGGATCACGCTGGCAGCCTCTCTCCGTAGTTGTATTTTTTATTTTTTTGCAGAGGCTTTGAACATTTGAAGCTGGACATTAATATTGTATGAGCGGGTCAGAGGGATGTGGCAGCAAAGGGCGATGTCATGCGGCAAACTGAGCTCTGATTGGTCGATGAATGTCACGTAGATTTTTAGTAAAACAACAGCTATAGGCTAAAGCTAAGTCTCTAGCTCAGACCTGTATCACTACAGCCATTGCAGCTTGTTTTGAAAGCGTTTAGGTCAGGATTTAGACCCGATTTAGACCCTCGGAAAATAATTTGTAGGTTGAGCAATTCGACCTTATTTTCACTCAGGTTGCTTTCTCAATGTTAAGCAGGTGTGCATTGCCCTCTGCACAAATGTAGGTTATGTTAGGGCATCTAATCCATCTAAATTATAAAAATAGCAAAAGGTAGTTTGCAAGAATAATGTAATAATAAATAGTGGTGGAGCAGTTAAAGCTCAACTACAGTGTAAAAAGAAACAGAAAAGTACAAAATTGAAAGTGCATTCAAAATGCATTTATACTGGCCCTGGTAATCGTCTATTCCACTATGACAACAAGCTACACTTATATGGTCAAGTTATCATCTTGGTATGTATACATTTTCTTCATGAAAAAACAAAGTATAGTCTCATTTAAAGGGTAGTGAAAAAAAACATATTTTTACATTACTGATAGTAGAAGTTATATTATCATTTTAATGAATATTTAATGCATTGTCTTTAAACTAACTGTGTTGTCAAAAGTTCACTGTGAATGCATGTTAACAGGTCAATGGGTTACTTGCTAACCGTTGTCTTTAATGTTTGCATTGTTAATGGATGTCCATACGTCACAAGTTTGGATT